CCCCTCTTACTTCCTTTCCCTCATTGCCTCCATCATCTGACTGAGCAAATGAGGCACATCATGATGTCTTGAAGCCTGACTGGAGAAATGATGATTGTACGGTCTCTACCTTACTATGTAGAAGCAACTATAGTTGTGATTTGCCACTAGATAAATAAAGTGAATTGAGTGAGCATTGCCTAACAATTCTTGCTTTTGGGACCAAGGTCACCTCTCTAATTGTTTCTCTCTTTCATAATTGAATGTACAGAACTTCTAGGCTCACCCAAGTAGGGGCTGACTCTGGTGCCTTATCTCTGCTACGCCTCTGCTTTTTGCAGATGATATGGTTCCTTTGGCCTCCTCGGTCTGTGATCTTCAGCTCACACTGGGATAGTTTGCAGTCAAATAGAGCTAAAATGGAAAAAAAATAAGCTGTTGGATGACTGGTCAATTGTTTATGTTCCTATGTTGTATCAGTCTGTGTTTCTACCCTGAACTATGGCCATGAGCTGTGGATGGTGTCCAGGACATGCTGGCTGATTTGTGGTGTCCACCCAGTAGATCTGGAGATGATGACCAGGAAGAATGAGATCTGGGTGTCTCTGTAGAAAATAGATGGATAAATGGACATCTATATGATGGCTCACGGGTGTTTTTAGCACCAGTTTTCTACACTGTACTTATTTCTAATCAATGATGCTGATTATTCTGTGCCTTCGGGCTTTACCTGCATTTAATACACTTGAAAATACATGCAACTGTGTATATTATCACTTTAAATTTAATGGCTTTCTATTACTATCATTTTTAAATACTTTTCAATTCTATAATATTTTACTTCAAAAAGTAGGTTTTGGTTGAATTACTGCCAGTTGTGTTATTGCTTTCTATTGCTATAACTATTCATGCAAGTGAGAGGAAAATGATCATTTCAGCTCAGCAGAAGTCTGAATAGAAGGGAGGTCTACAGTTTGCCTGGTAACAGCAGCTTAATTCTGGGATTGGCTTCTGCAGTGTTGATGTCAGATGTGCCTGGCAACGAGACTGGAATGCAACAGAAGGATTTAACACCCACTCAGCGTCACACCGCTGAACAGAACTGCTTTAACACTTGTTGCCTTGACACTGCAGAGTTGATTATTTAAATCGGACGATTATTTTTTCACTGTCTGCATCTTTGGTTTAGAAAAACACTTGGAGCCCTGCAGACAAAGATAAGAACTGAATGAAGAGAGGTCCCACTCTGCTTCAAACTCCACGCATCCATTTTCAAACCAAGTATAATATGTCGTGGAGCAGGTCGGTGCCGGTGTCTTTACAAACTGCATTTGGAACCAGACACAGCCTTGTTTGTTATGTTATTGTCTTTTTACATGTGTAGTGTCATTACAATAAATTTAAATTACACACACACAGTGACTGTATTTAACTAGTTGTTGCAATTATAATGTTGTTGTTTATATTTTTCAAGGTTATAAGATAAGATAAGATAAACTTTGTTAGTCCCACATGTGGGAAATTTGTTTTATACTGATGTATCTCTAATGTTTTGCTATTTTACCACTAATACAGAAAGAGTTAAATTTGCATATTAGTATAACAGAACAAAGTAAACATGGCACCTCCGTGTTGGCTTCATCTTTCAGCTCTGGACGTTCCTGCTTTGTAAAAACACTCTGTAAGGTCTGAGGGGTGTCTTACAAAGGAAGTTCAACACAGCCGGGCTTTCTTTGTGTTAACTGGTTTAACAAAATCTCTCAGGTCACATGGCTCAAGGAACACCTTTCAGAAAAATATCCTTTGAATGCTGCTCACTCCATCGAAGACATTATCAGATGATGATAAATTGAAATCTTTAAAGAACATTAAAAA